TCCACGGCTTTGCCACGTTTCTGTTTAGTAAGGCTGTGGGCAGCAACGCAGTCGCCGCGGCTTACCCGTGTATAGGTTTACTTTAAGCAGATTTCTGATCGTTAATGTTGCATAAACTTCATAGTTTGTGTCCGATGCGGTGGCCGCGCAAATGAACGCAGGACAAGTAAACCCACAACTCACCATTACACATCCATACACAGAACTAGTGAACCAACGGACAAGTTAACACGCAGAAAAGTGAATACCGGTATATAGAACATAGACAGCTGAACCCAACAACTGGGTTTGAAAAGACCTTGCTGAGATAATCGTCATTCTTGACTTGTTCTTGTAAATTTATTTTCACTGCAAATTCGCAATGATTGGTTCCGAAAGATTTCAGCGACTTTAATAAATATGTAAATGTTTTTAATGTGCTGAAAATTATTTTACAAAATTGTGTAAATAACCATTTTATTATATTTCTTGGGCAGATTTTTGTTTCCTAAACTGACTATTGATTTGTACAATGTTGTTTAACATTTGTAAAAATATCTAGAAAATTCTTATCTTTTATGATAATTTCACATTGATATGCTTTAAATTTCATTTTATTTGACTTCTATATATCTAATATTGCTTAATTGATTTTTTTTTCTCTTTTTAAAGTGGTCCACTTAGTATTTTCCATTTATCTCTGACGTCAATATGTATTATGAGGAAAAGTATTATTACCACGTGCTTCAAAATTTGCCAGGTTTTTTTCTATTATATTCTCTTCATAATGATTGATGTTTTTTTTTATATTACATGTCTCATAAACAAAATTCCGAAGTTTTTATGATCTTATTATTTTTATTAGGCTCGAGGCTAGTGGGTTGTTGGGAATATGCATTCATTTAAAATCTATCAATTATATCTATGTACTTAAATTGTCTGTTTTTTTTAAATTAACGAGTGGAATGCGTACATGATGTATTTATCCAATGTTGTTCAAGTAACCTTTAATTTTTTTTAATAAGGGGGCCATCCATAAATGATGTCACGCAAATTTTGCCGATTTTTGACCCTTCCCCCATCGTCACAAATCGTCACAAAAAGTTAGACCCCCCCCCCTCAAATATGACGTCACAAATCTTAAATTTTGCCGATTTTTGCCCCTTCCCCCACCGTCACAAATCGTCACAAAAAGTTAGACCCCCCCCCCTCAAATATGACGTCACAAATCTCTGCACCCCCCCCCCCCCCTTATAAAAAGTCCCTGTGTCCATTATTGTCCTTTACAAACCCTTAAGAAATTCACCTCCCATGGCTATCAAATTACTGCACCCGTGACAGAAACTTTTCACTAGATCAGTGGTTCTTAACCTGGGGTACAAGTACCTCCCCAACCTTGAGGTGTGTAATATTAAAATGCCAACGTTGATGCCAAGGCCAACAGTTCTATTGCTGCCCACAGATACTACTTACCAGCTAAGTGCTATTTCTTATTTTTATTTTTATACCGTTTTTTTCTGTTGTTTTGAAGGCTTTCTGCCGAAACGTTCGCTGTTTTGTTGTGTTTATTTTTTCCAGGTTTAACCCTACTCTGTTTTACTCATTTTATTAAGTGAAATTCTTTGCTACAACATTCGGCTTTTCATGTGACGTCACATGGCTTGAGACCCCCCCCCTCCCCCTCGTCACACATCGTCACAAAAACCAGCCCCCTCTCCCCCTAGACGCGTGACGTCATTTATGAATGGCCCCAAAGCATTTGTCAGTGTCTTTTTCATCTTTTATCGATATAGCATTTTCATTTTTTTTCTGACGTCAATTGATGAATCAGGGAAATAGTTTTGGAACTACGTAATTGAAACTTTGCATGCTTATTTATATTGACATTCTCTACTAAATGGTGGGTGGTTTTTAAACAAATATCTCAAAGGAAAATTTATCAGAATTATTTTATTTATGTATTTTTTTTTATTAGGTTCATGTGTTAATTTTTTTTTCGATCTTTTCTGTCTTAGTTTTCTAATTGTTTTTTAATTTATGAATGATATATGTACATGGTATAAGCATCCTACATCGTTCATGCAGCCCTCTAATTTAAAAAAACCCACAATTTTATACTTTTTTCATTTTTCTTAATTTTGCATTTTCCGGATTGTTTAGGAACGCCAAATGAATTGGGAGGAAAAGTATTCTAGCTACCGCCTTCAAACATTGCATGCTTCTTTTCATTGATATTCTTTACAAAATTCAAGAGTTTTTTTTTTTATATACCGGGTATATCCAACTAGAAAAGTTTTATAACATTTTTACATTTGCTACTCCTGAAGAGTTCTCGAATATTTATGTGGCCCCCACATACATGCCATTTGTAACACTTCCAATAACTGCTGTGTAATAATCTTCTTTAAACTTTTTGTCAATGTTATTCTTAATTTGTATGCCAAGTTTCATTTACAATACAGTAAAATAAGTTACAATACAATGCAATACAAATTTGTCTCGATTCATTTTGTGTAAAAGTCAAAATTGGTATAAAATGTTAAATATTTTGCAATAAAAGTCACAACAAATTAAAAAAAAAAACTTTAGTGGATTTTTGTCTTTCTGTTTGTATATGGTTTGTATGTACTATATTTTTTCAATGGCTCTATTTATTTAGGGTTATCAGTATTTTATTTTCAATGTGGCATGACTTAGTTGCGTTGAAACCAAACTCCCTTCACAGATCACATATATTTTTTTTTTTTTTTCTATTAAATTTTAAATTATGAAATAGTGTGTAAGACACAGTAGAAAGAAATGGTAAAAAAAAAAAAAACGAGTCCTCCAAAAAAAGTCTCTTTCTCATGCTTTATACAATGCCATCCTTTAACTTTAAGATGTTTATTGCAACCAGCTTGTGAATTAGGTCAAGTCAAATGAGAAAAGTTGTTGAAAAGAGATTCGAGATATCAGGAAAAACAGTCAGTGTCCGCATGTATGACTCCCAGTGCCAAGGAAAAAGTTTAAAATTGGAGGTTTTGTTCTGACTAAGCCAAGCTCTCTAGAGGAATAGTTGAAATTAATTCATTATGAATGAAATTTTCCTTATTTAGAATACCTAATTAATTCATAAAGTACTGTGTGATTAAATCTTTTAACTTAAAAAATACTGGTACACATAAATAATCTTAAATAAAGGATTTAATTTTAATAATTAAATTAATATTATTACTTTTAAAAAATTCAAATGAAAACAATAAATGTATCTAAATCATCTTCATTACTAGATTTTAAAAAAAAAAAGATCTACGAAAATGGATTAAACTAAAAAAGAAAATAAGAAAGAAAAAAAATCTACCCATCCTAAGAGAAATTAACAAAGCAAAAATAAAAAAATAGAATAGAATAAAACTATGAATCTGTGAAATAACAAGGAGAAAAAACAATTTAAAAAAAATAATTCTGTTACAATTATTGTTATCACACCCGGCTCCGAAGCTATTTAATCTGTACGGAGCCACTCTGGGTGCGAATAGTCATTGGCGATTATAGGGTACCTATAGATGCAGCCTTTCATTAAACCTCTGGAACGTCCATCCTCTTGGGGAAAAAAAATAATTATGCAGTAGGGTGGCAGTGGCGTCTCTAGGGTTTGCGTCACCCAATAACGGTTGACCCCCCCCCCCTTCTTAGACTTACCCCACGACCTCCCACAAATCTTTCTCTATCATACAATTCAGAACCACTTATTCTATAAAAAATTTGGTTGGTAAGATTACGATTGGTTTATTGATCAAAAAAATTTTTTTTAGGAAGTTTGTAAGGCAAAGAAAGGAGAAACCTTAATAAAAAGGAACGCAACAAAACAGCGAACGTGTCGGCAGGAAGCCTTCGTCAGCGAACAAACAATAGAAAAAACAGAATAAATTTTTAAAAATAGCACTTAGCTGAGAAGTAGTATCCGAGATGGCAGCAAAAGTAAAACTAGTTTGCAAGAGTTATCACCCTTTAAAATTATAAAATAAAAAAATAATTTGTTAATATTAATAATATTAAATACTCAGCAACACCACAGCATCAGCCATAATGGTTGATGAATAATTGATGACTGACAACAATGACAGTTCGTGGGTTGCTCTCCTAACCCCATGGACAATGAAGCATCACTACTCTCTTTGTATATAGTACTTTTTAAAATAATAAAAAAACGAGTTAGCAGCTTTATAGATTTTTTTTTTAGCTGCAACCTGTATTTTATAGACACAAAGTGACCCATTTCAAAGTTTTATATAGGGTTCAAGGAAACACATGGGAAAAAAAGATATTTTCAGGACCTTTAATTTGTTGCACATTTAAAATTAATGAAATGATTTTAACAGACTTCAAAATTTGGGGTTGAGTTTTAGTTTAATGCTAACCTCATTTCAATCTCAGCATTTAGTTTTTTTGTTTTTTTTTTAATGAAAAAGAATTTACATCCGCTCCCACTGAGATATGTAGAAGGAAATGGGAATTTAATTCTAACTTTGATTAAGACACCAATATTAAAAATGAAAATAGCTTGAAAATAATTCCCCATACGCTTTAGTACATTGGTAAGTGTTCAAAAATAATTACTCAACATTTCTTTTCTTGTTAAAGAGAAATGATTTGTTTTCATAATGTACCCTTATTTGACTTTGTTTTCTCTGCATTTATTTGTAATCAATATTTTTATTTCATGTAGCAAATTTTTGGGGGAAATTCTAAAATCTGCCTTAAATCTGTAAACTCATACAAAAAAATTATCAAAATTAATGCACATTTCAAGACTAGGCTTTTTTTTTTTCTTTCCCGTTTTTGTTTGTTTTGTTTTTTACAGTATAATAAAATTATACAACTATACTCATTCCTTTGCTTGACCCATTCATGTCCCTGTTTAAGTCAAACTACGGAACAAAAGGATCAACTTGATTTTAAGCTAACATAATTTTTTTTAAACTAATTCAAGTATCCAAGTATTATCAGCTTGAACAAACTAAGGACCTTTGCATTTAGAAATGGATGAATTTCATGAAAAATACCTAAGTATTAATTATTTTGAACTAACTAAAGACCTTTCTTTAAAGAAAAAAATCTAAAACATTCTGTTACTGTTACAATGTGACAGCACAAAATAAAGAGAATTAACAAAAATATTTTTTGCCATTTAATTCAATTTTGATGGACATTATTTTGTTTTCTCAGACTCAACACCTTGCAACGAGCCTTTGTTAACTGTTTAGGTGGAAAATTCTGTCATCAATGTCCCATGGTAGTGGCAAAAATGCACTGAGGTAGAAACAGAGAGACAACAAAAGGATGCTTGAAAGTGCTACAGAAAATATGAGAAGGCTGAACATTATGGTCGGCAGTTGTTTGGTGCTAAAGGGTCTTGCCACCCAAGCAATTCCTTGGCATGTTAAGAGATTCACTGCTTGATGATACTAAAGATTTAATCAGTTGTTTAGCCTGGAACTTTAGCTGCCTCCAAGAGGTCTTAGGATTGTCCTCCATCGGCAGATAGCTGTCAGTGATTGTTGTTGTTCTTCTTCTTCTATATTTTGAGGGCCCACGGTCAATGTATTGATCATTCTGGCTCCTATAATTATTCCTGGTGGTAGTGACTAAATGCATCAATCAGGAAAACATGCTAAGGGGTCCAAATTGTTTTGGATACACCCCTTTCATTTTTATTTTTTTTCTAGCTACAGAATCACACATCTCTGAGACTTCATAGGATAGGCTCATGGTGGTGAGTCTACAGATTTCATTTTCCTAACATTTTTATTATTTTCGAATTTTAAATTTAAAAGTGTGCCAGTATGAATTGGCCTTACCTATGAAGTCATCAGACCAAACTGAAGCTAAAGATCATTAAGAATGATGTTGAACTAAGATTAATGGGTGTCTCAAAAATCATCAAGCATGGTGTTCAAAAGAAACCATCTCAAATCGGAACACTGACTTCACACAAAACTAACTTCTCAACAGCTGAGCCTATAAGTAATTTCTTATTGTAAACAACAGCCGCTGATGAGCCAGATAGGAGGTCGCCGTCATCGTATAAAAGTTCTGTTGCTGAAGTTATGATTCCCTCAGCGGTTCGTAGGTGCAGCACCTTTGGATATTTTGAAATGCACATGTTGAAAACATCAGAGGCGAGAAATAGGCCTGACATTACAATCTGAAGACATGATTATATTGAATTATAAGTAGATGATGAGGGTGCTCATTCTGATTTTAATATGGCGAAGTATTTTTGTTTAAAAAGAAATCTATTGCAAATAGCAATCCATAAATGCATTTTTGTTATTTGCAAAAATTATATATAATAAAGTCCTTTTCACTAATACTTATACTGATATACCGGGTACCAACTGGTATATTACTTTGAGCTTACAAAGCACTAGAAACATAGCTGATAGTGATACAACTACAACTAATATTTCAAAAGCCATATGATGCTTGTAATGTAATAGTCAAATTAATTTTGTTACATCAGAAGAGTAGCAGCAGTTAGAAATAGAGACTTTTACAGAAATATAGGCTTATAAATCTGCTTTTTATGTATGCTAAATAATACTATAATAGTAAACATTGAAGTGAGTGAAAGAAATTTCAAAGAACTGGCGCACACACTATCCAACTATCAATGAGTATGCATACCTGTGATGCTGCCTTAAACTTCTTAGGTTTGTCCAAGTGTTTGAGATACTGGTAGGCAATGGGATGAGAGCCTATGAACAGGTCTCCAGTTGTGGGGTCTAGAACCACATTGTCTGGATGCGTATATAGTGGGTAGGACTGTGAACCAGAAATTTTGTATAGTGGGTACAGCAGCCAATAATATGACCTAACAATGTTTATTGTATCGATTCACATGGACTGAACAGTAGACACAACAATGTGAATATAGTGTGCAGGATGCAGAAAACAGTTGATTAAAATGTATACAACCGACTAACAATACATACACATACCGGTACCATAGTGTGTGTTGACTTAAACTAGGGGGTTTCAAACTGGCTTAAGGGCTGCATGATAATCTCATGGTCCATAGACACACATAAGATTATCAAGACAAACATAAGATTATCATTATAATTTCTTGTCTCTTATTGCAGTCAGTATGTGACAAAAAAAAATCTCACAAAGAGGAAACTTTGCTGACATTATCATCATCCCTTATCCTCAAATTCCAGGATGGGAGGTTCCATTCTAAATGGTCAAATTATTTTATGTTTTATTCATATATACTGTAACTTTATGATTTCTGCAGTCTGGTAAGAGGTCCCTTCAATACCCCTTTGCCAATACCTCCATTCAAGCATCATTGGCTTTTACTTGTGTCAGCATATACATATAAAGAAAGACTTTGAGATTGTATGCTTGTAATTAGTTTTTGTAGTGTTGCGTTTGTTTTAAATGTGGTAAATTATAGATATGTTTTTTGTTGACTTTGTACAGCGCTTCGAGCCTTTGGGGATGAAGCGTGTTTTTGAAATGAACTTTATTATTATTATTATATATATATATATGTATATATATACAACTTCAAATTAGTTAAAAAAACTTTCTTAACAAGTATTTGCATGAGGTTAGTAAGGCACTATATGAAGCCAAGCGATTTGAATTAAATGTAGATAAAATCTACGTTTTATTTTTATTAATTAAACAAAAATTTTTTCTTCACAGACTTTCTTTGCGTAATGCATTTTAAGAAATGTTATTTAAATTATTTACTACTTAAAAAAAATAAATATATTTTCTAATTTTTATTATTAAAATTTTAATAATTATTTACCTTTTAAACAAAGTATGCTTACAAAAATCCAGAATTAGGTGACTTATCCACACGATTATCTTTTTCGCAATCAACCTTCGAAACGGCCCTCATAACACCCACTCTGTGTCAGCAACTTAGATGACCATGCTGAGTAAGGTCAGCAAGAGGTGTAATTGTAGGGTAAACAATAACAAATAATGCTGGATATATGGACAGACTAACCTGATGAATTTGTGAGTAGAAAGTAAGTCATTTAAAAGATACATGACCAACCTGTTGTAAAGTCAGAGAATTATCTTTCTGTCGTGCATACACTCGTATTTCAGAACTAAGGCTCAAAGAAACGTAGACGAATCTGAGTGGAGAAAAGGTAATAGGTCATTAAAGGTAGTAACAACCCATATCTATCCACTTGTCATAGCATGATGCTCTACAACATATTGTGTCATAGCTGATGAGATATGCAAACAAATCACATTAACAAATGAAGCTTTTTCTAAAAATATAAAACCTATCTTTATTATTTTGGTTTCTAGCATATTATAAACAGAGGAGCATTCATTTCATGCAAAGTTAGCTGTTGTGCTTTCAAGCGTGTAGTTTAAGTTGTTAACTCAGAGGTTACGTCCAGCCCAAGAAGAGCTGCCTGACTACTCCAACTTACCCGGCTGTGGGAAGAGCTGGATAAATTCAAACCCAGTAAAACTTGGTTGAGAGGCTATCATGCTTTCACTGAACCAGAGGTCAACTGAATAACCTTAAGGAAGTGCTTCAAATTTTAGTTTGCTATCGATCAAACCACACAAATAATGGATGGGTTATCCAGATATTGAGGAGCAATCCTCGTGGGAAGCAATGCAGCTGTCCAAAGGCGAACCTGCCTAAACAGTCAAATTGTTTTTCATATTTAACCGTCTCAAAATAATTTTTAACTTGCATTTTTAGCTTATAAAATACTTATATGATAATTGTTAAATAAATTGTTGCAAATGAACCTTTTGTAAAGATATCTTTGTTTTAACACTCTGTACTCTCAGGTTGAGTGATGCTCAAGTACACGTAGAAGCTTAAGTAAAACAGGATATTGCTAAGGTACAATGGCTGGTCAAGGGAAACTGGGCTGCCCAAAAACAATTATAAAATTAAAATCATGTCCGATGGCATTTAGCTACTTACGATCCACAGCCTGACATGGCAATACCAGTGGCACTTGTCAGTCCTGTGATGACCTCTTGGTAGCCCGTTTCTCCGCTGTACATCATAACACTGGACCAAGGCATCAGGGAAAATAACTCAAGCAGCATGAAGAATCTAACTTTGTGCTCATAAAGGATATTAGTTGTGTAAAATGAGTCTTCTCCCAGCGCCTGCACATCATAGAGACTATGAGTCAGAAGAGAGAAGTTTCACAGAGACCATTACTATTAGTCAGAAGAGAATTTTCATAGAGACTATTAGTCAGAAGAGAAAAGTTTCACAGAGACCATTACTATTAGTCAGTAGAGAGAATTTTCATAGAAACTATATTAGTCAGAAGAGAGAATTTATACAAAATGTTCTATTCAGGTCTAAGAATTTGGGAAATGCTAAAAAAATAAACGTTTATGTTTAGAAACCATGATCATAATAAAACTTTATAAAAATTAGCAGACCCGATGTTTATTCAGAATAACTGATACATCCTAACATGATGTCCTTATCATCACAACATAGCACTGCTCCAGTTAAAGATAACATTTAAAATTAAAAGTATGGATTTGTTTCAGTCTTTTAAAAAAAACAAAAAAAACAACAACTTTAAATGTGTTTATATCAAAGACCTTGGTGTCTGTTATATTTTATAATATGTCTTTAATTGTGATTGCATCAGTTTAAGTAATTTCAAGGATGGGATACATGTTTATCAACCCTTTTGTCACATTCATTATTGAATGGAATGAATTGGATACAGAGAAACGACTGAGAATTTTCATATAATGTTTGTAACAAAGTACAGTCTAATAAGTAATTAAAAGATGATTGTACTGATCAAGCTTAAGGAGCCATTCCATGAAGTAGATAAGCACTGAAAGTGGGGAGAATATGGATAGCCTGTAATGTAGATTAAAGACACAAAAAGTAAAAATTATTTTTGTACGTAACTACCATGGTAAAGTTTTGCTTATTAATGTTCACAAGCATATTGTCTTATTTTATTAATAACGCTTGACCATACTTGTTGCATGCACAGACAGTATGTGTCTTTAACACCATAGTGAACCACAGAGTCTTAATTAACAAATAACACACAAATTTATTCCCAATAGGGAAGGACACGAACAAATGCTTGAAGTTGTTTTCTTACAAACGAAGTTTGCTGCTGGTGTAAGTTTTTATATGGTGTAAAATGCCAGTGCTCTGATTGAAATGGAACTTCTCAATCCGGTCAGATTCCCCAGCTGGGTGGTTGACAACATAGACAACATGCTGACCTAGAAGGGAACAGAGAATCTGCTGAACTTGTAGATTCTTAACTGAAATTTTAGGACATTTAAAAAAACAAAACAATCCCGCATGACTTGAAATATATAAAATCAACATTAAATATAACTTGACACTCGATATTAATTACCTCTCCGCTAAATTTTTTAAACAAAACTTTGGGGATCCTAATGATAGTGGATGGAGTCAACATATGTATTATATATATATATATATAAATATATTTATATATATATATATAACTATATTTATATAGTTATATATATATAACTATATAAATATATTTATATATATATAACTATATAAATATATTTATATATATATAACTATATAAATATATTTATATATATATAACTATATAAATATATTTATATATATAACTATATAAATATATTTATATATATATATAACTATATAAATATATATATTTATATATATATATAACTATAAATATATAACAAATATATAATAGTTGGAAAAACTCTACAATTAATGGATATTTTATCTATAGTGTACACCACCTTTCTCTATAATCTTGTAAGCTCCCCTCCCCCCACCCTCCCAACACAATTTATCCAAATGAAAACAACGCAACCTCTGGCCACTAACATTGCCAGGATACTTTCACAGTTCACAATATTTTTGTGTTGGGATCTGATTTTTTTAACAACTGTACATCAAATGATGCCCGGTGTGTCAGGCACTGCTCTCTCTACATGTCCAAATACCAGCTGACAATCAATCACATGAAGTACTAATCATGTTGTTTTTGTTGTCCTCTACTAGAGTCACAAGAGGGCAACTCCATGACTCATTTTTACCACACTGACTCAATTATGTTTATTTTTTAAACTTCACCATAATCATCCCTCAATAAAGACATTAACTGAGTATCAATCATTGGTGATCATTGAAAAAAAAAAATTAAATCATCTAATGCAGTGTATCCCAAAATTTTGACATTTGTGTACCCCTGTCTATAATTTTTGTAACAATGAGTCAATGAGTACCCATCATTAAAAAAAAAAATTGCATATACTTTAATAACAATAAAGAAGTATGTATTTTTTCCTGTGCAGCGCATACTCCCACCAAAACTCTTCCTGTACCTCCAGGGGTATGCATAACACACTTTGGGAAACACTGATCTAATGTTTTAAACTGATTAACAGCTTGAACAGGAAATGAAATTATGCATGGTCATTTAATATATTAAGAAAATCTGATGAGATAAATATATTTTCTTAAACAATACCTGTATAATTATTTGGCCATACACTTATGCCGTGTGGTCTGAAAGTACCAACTTTAAAGCTTTTCCCATCTGACCTAATGTCTAATTTCACCACTTTGGCCGAGTTTTCACTGAGCGAGACCGTGTAAATGGCACCACTGACATTGCTATTCTTGTAGTGGGCTTGGAAACTCTGGGATAACAGATTCATGTTAAGACCCTGTCATAAAATAAGGTGATGAAAAGTATTGAGATATTTGCATGTAATGATATTTTAATGAACATGAAACACTTAACTTTCTTAGACCTTTGTTGATTTGCTAACTGAGTACACTGTTACACTAGAAATGAAAACACATCATCTCATAATGGTGTTAACCAGGGGCATCTACACAGGTAGGGGGGAGGAAGCAGCTACTCTTCAGATACTTCCAATCTGAGTGGATGGAAGGAGGGGGGGGGGGATAAAAATTCCCCTCCCTGCTGGCTTTTGAATTTTTCCGGTAACAAAATTAATATGGGGAAAGGGAAAAAAAACAACAACAAATGCTAAAAGTTTTATGTTTGCAATACAATGAAATCAAAAGGCCTGGGATTCTTATTGGGAGATAAGGCTAGTCCACTGGTGTTAACTTTGCTTGTCTGGGTTGTGCTGGGAATTGAACTCTCATCAGCAAGTTAGGAATTGATACATTTTTGTCAGCACAGCCATCCAGGCACCCTCCCAAGATTTGAAGTTTTAGTTTAAAACTAAAAAATAAAAAATAATTATAGGCCTTCTAAAATTATTTTTTTTTTAAATCACAGGATTTGATCATTTGATTTGCTGAAAAATTTGAAGAATCATTGAGCTTTTATCAAAATTGTAATTGTTTGTTTTCAGTATCACTTTTGAATAGTCAAAAATGTTCAAAGAATTTTTAACTGTAATTTTTTTGTATTACCGGGTACTAGTAATCATAGTGAACTCTCGAATTAAATACTAATACCATGACCCACTTCCAGCTCTCAGGAGGGGTTTGGGGTTAGAGGCTCCTGCTGTTAAATGATATAATAAACATAGTGTACATAGTACAACCCAAAAGACAATGCCGTAATATTAACTATTGTCCAAGAAACACAAAGAAAACAGGCCCCCCCAAACAACAAGAGCTTGCACAAACTTTTCAGTTAAGATTTCAAGAGCAATTTCTTGATTTTTAATCATTCAGTTTATGAAGATGGGATTGGAAAAAAAAAAAAAAAAAAAAAAAAAAAAAGAACAAAAATTTATAAAAAAAAAAAAAAATATAGTGAACAAAGTACAACCCAAAAGACAATGCCGTAATATTAACTATTGTCCAAGAAACACAAAGAAAACAGGCCCCCCCAAACAACAAGAGCTTGCACAAACTTTTCAGTTAAGATTTCAATAGCAATTTCTTGATTTTTAATCATTCAGTTTATGAAGATGGGATTGGAAAAAAAAAAAAAAAAAAAAAAAAGAGGAAGCATAGTTTTTAAAACTTAAGAACAATTTCAACTCATGGATACAACAGAAAACTATTACATTAATTTAACTAAGACTAAGGTGATTTCTTAAACATTGATTTAATGTTACAAATCTTACAGATGTAACGAATGTTTTCCCATCCGGTAGAGTGTGAAAATTTTGAGAGCCATATTCTGCAATAAATCAGAAGTCACATCATTAATTAAATATAATTTAGAAAAAAAAAAAGAAGCAACAACTACATGTGAAATAATACATGTCACAAATTTTACAAAAAAATTATGAAACGTGAAAAAAGTAAATTATTATAATGGACCATAAACTACAGTAATAATACAATGAACCACAAACCTATACCATCAAGCTGGTAGCAAGATCCTGGATAGTGCTGATAATAGTGCAGATGAAATCCCAATGAGTAGCTGAGTTAAGGAGACCAAATTTTGTTATTTAGTTAAATAGGTTTGAAGAGTACTTAGGACTTAATTTGGGCCAAGTGATCGTTTTGGGCCTGCATTTGTCAAAAATTAAAAAAAGGAAATTAAAACAAAATTTAATACCCCCCCCCCCCCCCCCCCCCCAATCCCCCTTAAAAGTATTAGATTAACACTTTCCCATTCCCATTTCAAGAAGGTCTAAGAGGTTCTTAAGTAAAAAGGACTGTGCCTGCTAGGCTGTATTATTATATATTAATTATAGCAAATTGCAGATGAAATGTGATACTTATCCCTGATTGACATGAAAATTAAAGATTAAAGGAACACTGAATTAACACCATCAGGCTAAACTTGAAAACTGAATGTTTATTTGCCTTGAACCACCATTAACTGTCATTAATAATAGTAAAATAAACACTTCTCACAAAATGTTCATTAACATGTGATCATAAACTTTTTTAAGCTTACACTTATACTGACAGTATACTGGTGTCCATAAAGTCAGGACACATACTTCACATACTATTATGAGTGAGACATAGTCATAGACAAAGTGTAGGCTTAACAGATTAACATTTTTTGGATAAAATTGTGAGGTAATGGTAATTGTTCTCACAGATGTCTTAAATTTAAATACAATTTGTTAAACGTGAAGATTCAAAGACAAAGAAGACCTCAACTTATTCAAATTATCATAACTCATAACTTATAACTTGTTGATTATTGATAATAAAATAATTATTGACAATTTGAATTATTGACATCTTCAACTTGTTTATACTTCATTAAAAAATGATAAAATCAATAATAAAACATCCAAATTTATTTTAAAAAATATTTCATTACATGAGCCTGATAACATGTTGCAAAACAAATAAACAAATGCTCAATACAGCAATCTTCAAATACATTGGATTGTCATTTACATTATCATTAACACTATTTATGTTAAAAACAAAACCAAATGATTTTAAAATTAGGTAACTCTATTTACCGACATACATGATAAAATTGAGAGTTTTTTCGTAATTTAAAATACGCGTTAGGGAATTTGTGTTTAAAATCTTTAAAAGTACCCAATTACGTTTTTCTGGTAAAAATTTGTACCAAATATTTAGAGGTAATAAAACCAGGCATTCAATATATTTTCGTTTCTTTTTTTGTTTAGTAACGCAACAGCGGTAGGAATCCTTACTACAAGTTGAGCCAACTGTAACTGTAGCCGTAGCAGTGCCGTGAAGCCCCCTCCATAATTATTCAAATTTCACAAGATCTATGCTGAAGATAGTAGAATAAATATGTTATTTGGTATGAAGTGAATATAATATCTTTCTTTTTTCATGAGTAAATTAAATTGCTGAGGCCTACTCATGTATGTAGGTAAATGCCCTGTTAAGAAAACAAGAACAAGTTGAATGCACCACAACTGTATGGGATCCACACGAACAACAGGACAAAACTCTCCTAGAGACTATGCAGAGACGTTCAGAGAGAGAGAGAGAGAGAGAGAGAGAGAGAGAGAGAGTGGCATAGTCACACATATGCTCAACAACTTAGGATCGACCAGCCTATAAGAAAGAAGGAGAATCAACAGAATACTAGAGATGTTGTACAACATCAGTAACAGTGTGATTGAGATCAACAAAGCTGAATTCTTCAAATACTCGGACGAAAGAGGGTAATAATTAATCAAGAGCAAGATTTCCACCCTCCCCTGTTCCATTCATTCATCTCTCGGACGATCTCTGAGTGGAACAATCTCCCCCCCCCCTCCCTATTTTTTTTGCCACCACACCCTCCGCCTCCCTCAAATCGTTCATCAACAAAGCTGAATTCTTCAAATACTCGGACGAAAGAGGGTAATAATTAATCAAGAGCAAGATTTCCCCCCTCCCCTGTTCCATTCATTCATCTCTCGGACGATCTCTGAGTGGAACAATCTCCCCCCCCCCTCCCTATTTTTTTTGCCACCACACCCTCCGCCTCCCTCAAATCGTTCAAGTCGCGGCTCTGTGGTAGCAGACCCCTGGCAGTCACCCACCCCACTTTTTTTAAACCCCTAAGCCCACCCCCACCCCCCGTCTTGTAAACAATTTTAACTCTACCATTTGGCCATGCTTAACCCCACCCCACCCTCCCCCTCCACCCCAAGCTGTGGCTTTTTAACCTTTTAACGACTGGCACTGACCGCATTAAATGGACCTACAGTGTATGGACATCACGACGGTACCTTCAACGCTCGAGTGTGCCAGGCCCTGCGGGAAGAAGATGTCTGATGATTTATCTTACAAATAATGGCAAACTTGTTTTAGGCTACTTTAGCTTAACATATTTGGTGTGTCAATTTGAGTCTAATAATAATTTATTCTGATTGCAAATTTTACAATAAAAATTTGTGTTCTTTGTTAAGTGATATTGATTACCATTTTTAGCGTGTGTGTTTTGGGGGATGGGCGGAGGTGGAGTACAGGTGAGTTGTAGGAAATTTGGTTGGAGAGGAAGGGTGTTAGAGAAGTCATCTATAGAGAGTTTCGAACTAAAAATTTTATGTTTCGCATACATTCATTCTCATCAAAGCCGTCATAGTATAGATGAATCTAATTTTTCCAGACATTTTAGAGACACTGTTCGCTGCATCCTCTGGCATAGATGGTGTTGAGACCATACACATTGAATAAACTTTCAAAGATTTATTTAATACATAAACAAATGAGGTATTTTAAGAGTACTTTTCATAATTTTCATCTGGTATTTATTAAAAGTTTTATTTAAACTGTTTAAAAATTAAAATACTGCGATGACATGTTGATCAGTACTTTAATGTAAGTCATTCATACAAATTGTTAGTTTTTTTTTAAAAGGGTGTTTTGACTTGGAAAAGTAAATACATTTTTTAATGTCAGTCACCTACAACTAAATTTTAAATTATGCATCAAATAGTTGGTTTTCCTCAAATTCTGTGTTTTTGAAGTTCCATTTCACAGCAAAATATTTTCAGGCCATAATACATTTATTCTTAACTAAACTCATGACATTTTGAACAAAAATCAAAACAAACAAGAATTGATCAGGAGATAAAAACGTTTTTATTATTTACAAACCAACAACATGACAGTAGGGTGAACCAAGGGGTTGAAGGGTAATTAAAAAAAAAAAAAAAAAGGGAAATATTTTAAACAAAAATCAAAACAAACAAGAATTGATCAGGAGATAAAAACGTTTTTATTATTTACAAACCAAAAACATGAAAGTAGGGTGAACCAAGGGGTTGAAGGGTAATTAAAAAAAAAAAAAAAAGTGTAATGTGACCTGCACTTTTTCAGTGCCAAGTCAAACTTCTATTTTAATCATTTTTATGGAGTTTTGTTGAAATATGCAGATTTAGAATATCTTCTTAGCCAATTAGAGCATGCCATGGCTTTAGCGAAGGAACCCAGTCCTGAAAAACTTGATGTCAAAATAGTCAGATTTCTGGAGGAAGAAAGCCTCCTGTAGTGACTTTTATTACATTGATCACATTGTTTCAATAAGTTGTCACTGAAGTTAGATCCAGTACGGTCAAATTTAACATGAAAATATTTCATGTTCATCCTTCAGTTTAACCAAAACTCATAATCAATAGCTATAGGAAGAGTATTTGGTACTGACAAAGTGCTGGCCAATAAATGAATACTTTATTTTGTGTACCTCAACTACGCCAATATAACGCCGGTACATACAAAAATTGACAAATCATGCAGTCAGGCATTCATTTAAATGGTAATAATTTTAAATGATATTATAATAATAATGATAATAATAATATGATGCTAAAAAAGAAAAACAATAAAAAAAATATTTGGTGTAACAAAAAAAAAAAAAAAAAAAAAAAAAAAAAAAAAAAAAAAAAAAAAAAAAAAAAAAAAAATTTGGGAAAAAAAAAAAAAAAAAAAAAAAAAAATCACATAAAGTGAGAAAAGGTAGTAATAGTAGTAGTAGTATTTGTAATAATAGGTAGTACTAGTAGTAATTATAATAGTCGAATTATGTATCTTAAATAATTGCAAAACTTGAATAGCTTTAAAAAGGACAAATGTGGCACAAACATTAGACAGTGATAATGATTAATTCCAGAAAAATGATAATATCAGTTTATCAGTATCGTAGCTTACACCCAAGCACAAAATGTGGAAAAATATGCATAATAATTATGTTGACAGGGAAAATGTGTAAAGAAATTATTATAATTAGTTTACATACATATATATATATAATATATATACTCCATCATTATGAGCATTTACATGGAGTCTATTAATTCCTTGTATTTATTGTGGCTATTATTTGGTGTCTTGCATTTAAACTAAAAATCTGGAAAAACGTCTATTAAAAAATAAAAGGACTAGAATTCTTGAGTAAAACTGAAATTAAATAAAAATGAGTTCCCTGTTAAAAAAAAAAAAAAAAAAGGGATCATTTTAAAAGATGCCATACACAAGTATTTCCAAAGAACTTATCAACATTTATTTGAATTCTTCCCTTAGTTTTTTGTTAAGTCAAGTAAACAATATCAATGTCTTTACAAAAAAAACAACAAAAAACACTAAAAATTTGCAACTACTCATTTTCCAGGTGGAGTTTTAATAATTTAAACCACGAGAAAAAAAAAAAAGAAGATGTATCTTTTAAAAGAGCCAAGTTAACTTGAACTCCAAGTGGAGTTGAACATGACAAGGTGACATTTGTGCCATAGCTGCTAAAGAAAATTCCTACCATCCCTTTGTGAGAAAGTTTCTTATTCCTGACAGTCTTACCAACAGATAGAACAATGATAATTTTTGTTACAAATGTAAGAAATGGTGAGTGACAAAAATATAGGCGCAAATTCATGTTTTTTTTTTTTTTTTTTTTTTTTTTTTTTTTATGATAAAACAGTGTGTGTGTGTGGGGGGGGGGGAAGGGGGGGGATATCCTTATTTATAAATATCACAGTTGCGGGATACTTTAAAAAAAAATGCAGTGCTAATTATAATAATGATACATTGCCTTGAAATGGTTTTATTATCAATTACCAGAAGCCTGGATACATAGACTTGCTGGATTGAACAAAAGAAAGGATCTATGAAAAAAAAGTCATAGGTAAAAATAAATAAATATGGAATTAAAGATGAAAACACGCACGGATCTAGCAATGTTAACATAGTACAAACATCCAAGACACAAAGATGAACCGAGAAACTTATGACACAGTTATGCCATCAACATATACAGCCATGCTCTCTAGATTAGCATTTGTTTGACCAAGCCATAAATGACAATGGAAGAAAATGAAGCAAAAACTCAGTCCACACTACTAATCATGACCAGCAGCTACCATTTTGTAATAATGAAGTCTCCTTCAAACATTATCTTAAAGCAAAACACGCAAAAAGTTAATTTTGAAAATAACTCAGTCTATGTACATAATTTCTTAGCAACGTAATATCTGGATTCAAAATTTAGAATTAAGAGTTTTAGGGTGGGAGAAAAAAAAGAAGAAAAGATTAAGCTGTGAATAATATTAAATTAACTACACACCACAACAGATAAGGAAACAAAGCCGCCCCCCCCCCCCACCACCACCATCACACACACACACAAGGCCCTGAGATTGCATAGGTCCTCAATGAGAAAAGCTTCTAGTTTCATACGAAGGAAGTATTCATAGCTATAAATTCTTTGGATATCCTTAACTAAAACTTTTATCCATGACCTCTACATTTTAATTAAAGCCACTCAAAAAAACAAACAACAACACCCCCAACCCATAAAACATTCTCACAATGGGCTCAGTGGAAAAGATCTCAGACTTATGCAAGACATTTAGTTGAGTGGGTGACAGCTCAAGCGATGGTGTCTACTCATCATAACCAGCAGGGGACTGAGAAGAATACAAGTCATCATTTATTAGTATTTAAAAAAAAAACTGTGTTGACATTCCTTTTTGTTGCAGAGTGTGGGGAA